CGTAATTGATCCTCCCATATTTCTCTCGAGAGTTCAGTGCGCGCAGAAATTCCTCCTGGTTCCTTCATTCTCAACTGAAGATCATACCTTTTCCTTAACTCCGGGTTTGAGAGAGTCTCATAAGCTCGATGAAGCTCAACAAACATCTTAGTGGACTCTTCCCTCTTTGATGGGGAAGTAACATCAGGATGATATTGAAGAGCTAGGCTTCTGTATGCCTTCCTGATCTCTGCAAATCCTACGGTCTCAGACTCTAGAGAAAGAACCTTATAAAAGTCGGTCTTGTTTTTATTCCTCATGTCTAAGGATGTAGCACTTGAACATGAAATCTTTGTAAATTTCGGTTGTTTGGAGAAGTTTATAGAGGAAGAAGTATCAATGGTTTTTAATGCAAGCATGTTGAGAGTTTTGAGAGTTTGCAGGGAGAAGAGGCTCAATAGAAGATATATATATAGCAAAGGAAAGTGCGACAAAGTGTTTTGCTTTGTTTATGGAATAGTCAAAGATTTCATAAAGAGAAAAGATTAATTTAGGATGTGGGCGGCTATTATTATATAAATGAGGAAAATTTCGGAGCTAATATTGGGTACATTGTACTGGGGAAAGGATTCTTGTTCAATGATAGGAATTGCTGGCCTACCTCAATATTTATTAATTACACAGTTCTGAGAATAAATTGTTGCTGAGTAGTATAATTTAGTGCTCTTTAGCTTAAAAGATTATAATGACTAAATGGTTCTGGTATAATATGGGAAACACAATTTTCGGAAGTTGAAACAAGTCTTAAAAGAAAATACTACAATACAAAGCATGTAATTTGAAGCGTAAAAGAATGATTCAAAAGTAGTATCATAGTAAAGAAATTACTACAGTACAAAGCATGTAATTCGACACGTAAGAGACTAATTCAAAAGGAATAGTATCATAGTAAAAACAGAGTTGTGATTGTCGATGATTTCAGGGACTCTCAACTATTTCTTTGTGCATCCTAATCACTGTTCCTCAATTAAAACTTGACGGATTCTTCACAAACTCGGGTAACTGATGATGAGTACCATATGTTTATGAAGCACTGTAATTGACTTTTAATTGGGGAAAATGATAGGGGCACACCCCCAACCACACCTCCAACCACACCCCCTCTCTCATTTGCTACAGTGCACCGGGCCCCATATGTGATTTTAAATTTTTAAAATCACATGTGGGGCCCGGTGCACTGTAGCAAATGAGAGAAGGGGTGTGGTTGGAGGTGTGGTTGAAGGTGTGCCCCTGGTGCCACCCTTTAATTGGACGCTGAGATGATCATTTGTCATGCATGTCATCGATGAAATCGTCATATGACCATTAATCTCTGTCATTAGCTCAATATAATGACGAGGTTATTAATTGCACATAATTAATAATGAATTCTAAGAAAACAAAACTAAAAAGGGAAATACGCGCAAAGGAGACGAAGAAAACAAGCATACCAGTGTACCATAGCGAATGTCCTCTAGTATTACAGGTCTTAATCCGCATGTGACTATTAAATAAGATGATGCGCGTAAACAGGAGAAAGTTTCTAGATAGAAAGGTTTCGCTTAGTCTAACATTAATAGTTTATATATATACTAGCCTTGTTAGAGTACAAAAAGAACTCTCCAACGCGAACCAAAACTTCAGAGTATCGGTCTGGTGGCACAGAAATTAAAAATGGCTGGCATAATAGACCACCAAAATACACTGGACCACCAGAATTTTACTTATAATAGGAAAATTTTTAAGATTAAATAAGATTAAGCGTGCGTAAATTATCAATGAATTTTACGGTACAACCTCATATCTGGTTATGCTTGCCCATGAAAAGACAGTAACAGGGCTATGCCAGATTTCTTCAATTTGAATCTTAAACAATCTCTCCTATACTTCAAACAAGATTCATTGATAAATGTTAGATAACCATGCTAGAAATCAAGACAAGTTGAAGGAAAAAAGAAAATATTCTGCAGGCAATCCACAAACTAAGTTCAGTAATCTTAGGAAATATTGGGTCATTGTGACAATGCATTTGGGATATAGAGCGGCTTCAATATCTCTATCATTTCAGCATTTGGACTTCTGAGTGCAAGTGTATACTATATCAAAGGACATAATCAGAAACAAGAAAACGTGTGCTTCGTAGAAAATGCATGGTGATCAAAGAGATGATAGTAAATGAATAACATGTGGCACAGCAAAGACTCAATTCACGACTTTTTTGCTGCCCTGCTCTATATTGGACTTTATTTAAGCTGTTGAACTAAGATACCACCAATTAGTTCTTTATACCTTCTGTTATACACTTCATACCATTGTCTCCAACCTTTTGAACTCTTTGTAAATGCTAATGATGATAAAGACTTGGATCTCTGAGCAAGATTTATGGTGCAAATAGTTGGATTTTGTGCATTTACGCACTGTGACTGGCTTCCTATTTGACATTTAAGGTGGCCATTTGTCATGCATTATATCCATAAAATCATAATGTGGCTACTAATCTCCGTTATCCGATTGATATACAAAGTAGCTTATTTTATGCATTTTATATTGAGTTCTGTTAAAATTAAAAACAAAAAGGAAAATAAGCAGAAAGTTTACAATAAAAACAAATCAAATGCTCCGTGTGTATATATATACTATATATACCCCATATCATAATATTATATGTATATACTAACTATTATATATAGAGAGATGGATGTAGAGCAAGAGAGATGAAGAAGTGCTTCACACTAAGGTGACGTCTTAGATAATCATCTAAGGACGCGGCCTAAAATCACATGATTGAGCTATATTGTGGATGATCCGCTCCGTTGAACTTGATCTACATATTCTAACATCCCAACACACCAAGTTTTGGGGTGAACCCGTCGTTGTTTGACCCTTCATCCACTCGTATCAATTTTAACAGTTTCGAATGAATAAAACTTTTCACATGGCTCGGCGGGGGGTCAAACGACGATGGGTTCACCCCAAACTTGGTGTGTTGGGCTTTTAGAATATGTAGATTAAGTTCAACAGAGCAGATCATCCACAATGTAGCTCAATCATGTGTTTTTAGGCCGCGTCCTTAGATGATTATCTAAGGCGTCACCTTAGTAACACTTTCCAAAGATAGCAAGCGCGTAAACATGATGGATTTTTAATGTAAACAAAAAAATCACTTAGTCTAACATTAATATTCTACACACCTGAGCATCCTAATCTAGCATGGATAGTTTGTTAGAGTGCCAAAAAAGATAAAATAAATAAATAAATAAGGCAGATTCAGTTACATTCTGACAGATGCAAATTATTGTCTGTAATTCTGAAGGTTTTGTTGGGTAACAAATGGAATGGGGAAGAGGAGAGTCTGATTATCACGGAATATTAACATAGCAAAGGCAGAGGGAAACAATATAAAATAAAGGTTTAAAATGTGGTTTCTAATAAGAACATCTTAATCGACATTTAGTTTTGAGCTTTCAACTTCGTGAACACTTCTTCATTGAGATAAATTGCATATATAAATGGGTACATGCACTTGCAATCTTGAAATCCAAGAGTTTATAGAGGGTATTCATTGTTTAAGGAATGGGGCTACACTAAAACTATTGGATTTTAAGTTATGATTGCTGAAAAATGAAAAATAACTGGGCAACTTTTGTTTTGTCCAGTTCATTATTATTGCAACATAGTTGTTCTTGTTCATGCTTAAATTTTTTGATAGACTTGCTCTGTGCCCATGTTTTGACACAGATTTCAAATTTTAATCACGTACAGCAGAGAGTATGTCATTTTCAAATACAGACTTTATAACTGAAAACACTAGAGAACTGGTATTACCTTATGATCTTAATAAATTTTGCTGTGCGTGGACAAGCTGACAAGTGACACAATTTTATCTTGCTTCTGCTCTCAAGAGATTTGGCGCATGCTCACCCTCTTGACCAGAAAAATCAGAATGACTTCGTAGGGGGGGAAGTTCTCAAGCCTGCACGATTGCAAAGGACAGAATCAGAAGCAACGTGAAAATGTCTGCTCTGGGGGAAAAGAATTTGCATAATGATTTCAAAAAAATAAAAAAAAAGGAGATATAAAATTTGCACCGCATGTTGAAGATCAATCTCAACTCTTCTACTATTTTGTTCTATACCACGTTGTGTCATTGCCTTCAACCTGTGGACTGTCTGAAAAATGCAAATTTCTTGTCTGGACAAAATTCAAATTTGATAACCATTTTTGGAGAATCATTGGTCTATGGTCAACCACAAATGAAAGCATGGAATGGAATGAAAAGGTTAAACTGTTGATTGGACTTCTCGGCGGTAATTGGTGGAGTGTTGCGGGCAACACTCCTCATGAATATTGAGAATCAGCCAAGCACAATCTGAGCTCCTGCAAATACCCTACTCTTGAGATAACTAATTAGCTTAATTGCATAACCTGTATATAGTTACCAGTCGTCAGTTGGAGAATATGAAGAGCAAGCAGGACAAAATTTAGAGGTGCCTCAGACAAAGGGAGTAGAAATAGTACCCTTTAGTTTCACAAGAGAGTAGAAATAGTATTTATTGAGGCATATGAATACCAGTTTCAGTTTTCGCTGATTTTGCAAACATTTCTTTGATTTCAACAAATGAGTTGCCCAATCTTCCACCTGTTCTCTCTTTTGAAGTTTCATTATTACTCTCGTACACCAACATTGCAATCCATGAACGACCTCCAATGCACAAAATTTAATTCGCTGAATAACAAAATGTTACCATTTTGCATATTTTACACAGTTTGATCAACATAAATAATATCTTTACACCAAAATTATTTGCCAATACAGAACTTGCCAAAAATGCTAGATAATACTTCTTCAGAAATGTCAACCCCACTGATCTCTCCAAGGGCCAATGCTGCTTCCCTCAAATCTACTGTCCAAAAATCCAATGGTAAGTCCTCATTTATTGATGATTTTAGTCTTGACAGAGCTTCCTGAGTGCGAAGAAGCTGCTCGCATTGTCTCTGATGAAATCACAAAACATTCACCATGTTAAACACAAAGCATGTGCATTTTTCCCCTATGGTCAAGACAAGATAAATGTCCAACACCAACGTTTCTACAGAATTGTTATACATTCAAAAATCACATCCTTCTGATCAATTCCACGATGATTCAGAACCATCCAAGAGCTTGAACTGCCAACTACTTTTGAACTTCCCACTTAGTTAAAATTAGCTAGAAAAGACCTTGATTATACTACACCAATAATCGGCCAAATGATTCTGAGAAGATCAAATGTTAATCCTTCCATGATCCTAGTGAAGCATACATGCAGTATTGTATCACACCTTCATCATCTAATCATGAATTACTATAAATCCTGTCGAGAAACCACTCCTGTCGGCATCTTAATATATAAAGTCTAGGGTAATAATCTAGCATTTGCAAAAAAGTACAAAATTGCAAAAGTACAAGCCTGACAATCCAATAGCTTGACGACTATCGAGCAGCAACAAGGCATTAACAGTGCAGAATTTACAGAATTACAGGACATATAAGGAGTTGAACACCTGAACTGCATAGGATGCTGCAATATAGCGTTTGGCAACAGAAACTCCAGGATGTGCACAACGCAGAATGACATGAAAGTTGTGAAGAACATAGTGAAAATTTGTTTGATCTGGTTGTCTTGTTCATTTTTTTAACTATCCCTTTACACTATAATATTTACACATGTTAACCTCAATCCTAATTTAACATATAGGTTTCTGCTATGTTTATTTATGGAAAACCAATAATAATTTTAGAGCATATTTAATGAAAAGGAACAAGTAGCATAAGTTATGTTACTTTGTTTACCTGATTTATAGTCCATCTGCGTCCACCAGCTGACACAGGCTCGAGACCTCTGACCTCTAGAACCGCCTTCTCCAGTTCTCGGATGCCTTTTCCGGTGACAGCACAAGTTTTAACATGCGCTCTGAAGGTGCTGTTATCCATACAAAATTCCACTGATGCAGATGGCGCACAATCTATCTTATTGATAACAAGTATCATAGGTGTGGATGAGTTAGCCGATTTCTGCGATCAAAAGATGAAAGGGAGTGAATGGGTCGGATAAGCAGTGATTAACACGGTTACACCTCACATGTGATGACTCAATAATCATAAAGCATGTATGCAGCATTCTACACTCTAACAATACATGTTGCTTCATTCCTCTCTCTTCTAGAATAAGAAAACAAACCTTGTTCATCTTAATATGTTCAAGAAGGCTTTCATCATCCTCAGTCCACCCATCAGATGCACTCATTGTCATTATAATAACATCAGCTCCCAATGCAGCCGCTTCTGATCTCTGTACACCTGAATCAGACATGAATTTGGTAAATCGTTCGGTCAATTAAGACACTGTCTTCACTAAGATGTACGACTTTACTCAACAAGTGCAAGGTTATTGACAATTGTACAGGCATTAGCCTGAGAAGGGCTGTGGTCTATAAAGCTCTACATAAAAGCATATAACAGGATACTGACCAATTTTTTCGACTATGTCATCAGTTTCTCTGATACCAGCTGTATCAAGAAGAGTAACAGGTATGCCATCAATAGTCACATTGGCTTCTACCACATCCCTTGTAGTCCCAGCAATTTCAGTAACTATTGCTCTGTCACTCTGCATACTAGTAAAAATATAGAATTTAATAAGGCAACATGCTGCTGAAACACAAACTCTGTATTATGTATACTTGTAAATATACAACCCTGAGACTTCCTAGGTTAGAACAAGCAGGGTTCAGTTTTGAATTGTTAAGGAGCTAATAACATGACCATTGATGTACACAACAGAGTATGATATAGCCTTGCAATAGCTTAAGACTGCAAAAATTCGAAGGAAAGATAAGGGGAGACATTGATGAAAAACAAGAATATGCAAATGAGAGGATTGATGATGAAGCTAGTGCAAAGGATAAGCAAATTATTAAGTGTCAGGGTCTGGACAAGTTAAATACATGCTTATGTAAAACAGAAAAAATCTAGAAAAACGCACCAAACTGATGCAGAAGACCATAGTACGTAAAAGGTCTATGATAATGATCAATTATTTTCAGGATTATTGTTTGTGGAGCCTGTGATCTGATGATTCATGAGTTATAGCAAACAAACTAAATAAAGAACAGACTTCATCTAATAAAACGGCATTAAGAGCTGACATTACACTGACACTGTTTCACGTTTGTAGTTTTCAATATTTGAAATAAAGCAGACTACTGTAGGTTAGTTGAATAATATATCAGTCTATATATATACCGCTAATTGTGACAGAAGAAAAGGCCAGTCAAGTTCCAAATATAATCAGCAAGTACCTTTGAACTACAGCCTAGCAGCGTGAAACTAACACTATACAAAAAGGAGGAAATTAACTTGAAATAATGGAAACCTTTTTGTGCTCTTTTTCTTTAAATTTTTTGTCCACAGTCTAGGTAAATTGGACAAAAAAAATTCTTCTCTAAACAAGGGATCAAATATTCAACAATACTAGGTACAGAAATAACTTTAATCGGGATCCAATATCTGGTACTAGATGGAAAGTAAAAAATGTTTTCTATTATGATCAGGCATAAAGATTAGAACAATTAGTAAAGAATAAAAAATCAAATCAATACAATACATAGAGCAAGATAGCAATAAAATGACCTTGTATCTAGAAGGTTAGAACCATAAAGACACATAAGACTGTCATATATATCGGCAGATTCAGTTATATAAAGCTGGAGAGAATACAACTACAGAGTGTTAAGCAGACTAGGCAACCTACTTTGCTCCATGCATTTAGAAGGCTTGATTTCCCAACATTAGGCCTACCAATGATTGCTATCTGCAAAATTTAAAACCAAGCTGTATAGAATGAGTTTTCTAACATTGTATGATAAGTTGCACTCAATTCAACATGTTAAGATCAAGCCCAGAGCAAAATAACCAAAAGCATTGTGTAAGTAATGAGATTCAGTAACAGAACTTCATCACAAAATGAGATTGACTATGGCAGATGATAACTAGCAGATAATAAAAAAACAATGCAAATACCGACTGTCACCAGTGGTCTTAAAGACATTCTGGTCTGACCCAGAACGATAAAGGGGATATCCAGAATAGACATATAATCTTATACAAGGAAAAATGAACAGAAACAAGCAAATTTATTTTAGTGTCATTTCCCAACAAAAAAATCTACATTAAGAAGACCTACCAAGGAGAATAAGCTTCAAATAAAAGAAATAAAGAAATTACCATAACTTGTAAATTCACTATGGAAATTAGTGAGCAAACAAAGAGGAACTGCAACTTGGTTTGAGTACCTGGAGACCAGATTGGAGAAGTTTATCATAGTTAGCAGTATCCAGTGCCTCCTGCACATTATGCCACATATCATTTATCTTATCTATTAACATGCTGGTATCTAGGGGAGGCAATTCGTCATCAAAATCTAAACGAGCTTCAATTTCTGCAAGCAGCTCGATGCACTGCATTCTCAGTGACTTCACTAAAGAAGAAAACCCACCCTATCACACATCGTTATACATGGCATGTCATCAGTTATATTATTTGAACAAGCAGAGAACACTCACGATTTAAATGAGAAAAATAAAACTAAAGAAACATGAGTATACCTGTATCCCAGCCAAAGCGGAGTCAGCTGCAGCAACAGACTTGGCAGAAACGAGTCTTCCAACATTTTCAGCTTGTGATAGGTCTAATCGTCCATTTAAAAATGCTCGAAGAGTGAATTCACCTTAAAAGATCCATAAATATGATCAGAGAATTCAAATTGAGCAACTAACAGAATCTCAGAGAACATATCACATGAGTCAGTCCCACAAGTGTCAAAATCCGTAAGCTGAATATCTTGCTTTTGTAGAAAGAAAAACTAGTGTTCCCAGTAGCTACAAGTGTACGGGCTGCTATAGCTGTCACGAGCATACTAGCAGCTATAGGGGTTAGAGGGTCATGCAGCTGCAATATCCAAAATTGTGTAAAAATTTAGATTCCCTTTCGGCCTTTTGCGATGACATATGAAAAAGCGTGATCAGATTTAGGCAGTAATGCATAAATAATATGATCATAACTTATATTGGTCTTTGTGATTGTTATCTATAACTTCGACTTTCCTTGAAGCAGTTTGTTACGTTCTTCACTTAATGCTTTTTATGCTGATTCATCATGTCCACATTGCTCTTCCTTAGAGAAATCATCCCTCACACTAAATTAAAACTTTCAAATTTGCATATTTTTGAACTTTCGCATTTGCAAATTTATTCAAAGATTGCTCCTGTGCGAAAAACAAAGGGGCACAATCCAAATTGGCTTACCTTTCAGTGGAGCTAAAGATTAGCAGCACAGAATCCTGTGGATGATGTCAATGCAGGCTACCATATGGCCCATATGTAGGCCCTAGGGAGTTTGTGGTTGGGAAATCATTATATAGGCCTACTCAACCATGGGTTATAGTGGGTATCCATGAAATGTGAATGGCACATAATTTTTTTTGGCTTTTTCGAGTCATTAGCATGAAGGTGTCTCATACTAACGCAGGCATGCACAATTCAAGCATTGACGTATCCATGGGATGTGAATGGCACATAAATTTTTTTGGCTTTTTCGAAACATTAGCACGAAAGTGTCTCATACTAACACAGGCATGCACGATTCAAGCATTGAATAATTGCATTAAGTAGAAAGTTGATGTCAAAACCTATATCGTCTTTCCTATGCTTCCACTCTAGGTAAGCCTACTTATATTGTCTGATTATCCTTGTTGTTCTATGTAGTTAAGCTGCATTGTTAACAGAAAATTAATATAATTCTTGTACTCATCCTGATCTCTTATAGTTTCCAAAGTTCAGCTTGACTTCAATCCCATATGCATTGGAGATACAAATTTCGCAGATATAATGTTGGAGTTTCCAATGCTTGGTTGAGCTTCACTAGGAACAATCCATTATGCCAGATTGGTTCCTTCCAGCTTGACAAATTGTATCGAACGCCTAAAATCAGCTGACTATTTAGCCGCACAATCCACTTTTAGACCATTGTCCATATTGAGAAAGAGAAAGGAAAAATAAATTTGAAAGAATGTTTATAATGTTCATTTAAAAAAGTTGCACATTTATCATAATGTTTTTATCCTAACGAAACTCAATTTGCTTATTTTTTTAAACTCTAGCATCTGAGCATGAAAGAGAGCGCCACAGCAAGGAAAGCGTAGCATCTGAGCATGAAAGAGTGCCAATAACCAGAGCTTAGCATCTGAGCATGAAAGAGAGTGCCAATAAAGCAAGAGGCATCAAATCATCAATAACTCCAACAATTAAGTATTGACATACATCTTGCTAAACGTCACTGCAATACTCTAATTCTTTATCTCATGTTTCTGCCAAGTTTCGCCAACCTCTCTCCTTTTCCCCAACAACACAGCAAGATACAATGCAAGATATCTTCCTACGATTCCGTCTATTAATTTATGACCAGCGAGCATGAGATATGCAGAACCAGTGAGATAGAGTAGTAGAAAATTTAGGACAAGAAATAGAGGATGATTTATTATAATAAAGTCATATCTAATGAAACACGTATTAATAATAGTTAATTGACTTGACATATAGATAATCTAAATTTTAAATAACTGGATGAATTCTCGTTAACAAGCAGGCAAATATTAACATAAAGGGGAAAGGATATATGTTTCTTATTGTATTAAGAAATTTAAGCTAGAATGTAAATATGAAAACCTTTTAGCAAGCATGTCATAATGTCGGTCTCAAGGGTTAATACACAACCAACCAAATTCTAGACATTCACAATTAGAACAACACACATATATTCACATTTTTATTCAGAGTTATTTTATTTTAAGTTAAAAATATTCAGAGTTTTATGTATTCAGGGGGGATATTGTCTAATTTATAAAGTGCATGTGGTTTTGCGCAAAATGCTCCAGATTTGCACCGGTTTGGCAGAACCTAACCTAAAAATAACATATCAACAGAAAACTAAGAAGCTAAACTAACCAGGTTCAGCAAGCCTTGCACCAGCTTCTAAGCAAGCCCTCAACACACGACGCAGACACACATCACTCCCATGGCATTGCAACTCGACCACATCTTCTCTGGTGTATGATCTCGGTGCCAACATAGGAATTGCCAAAACCTATCACCGACCAACAAAACCCTAAAAAATTAGGAAAACTACAGCTTATGCCCACAGGTCTTCACTCATAGAAACAAAAATCTCACCTCATCGATCAAACTCCCATCTTGATCCGAAACAACTCCATACTCAACAAAATGACTCCTCGGCGTCCAAGTTCCCTCCTTTCCTCCGCTCCTCCTCGCCGGCCGGAAAACTCTGCCAGCGACCTCCACCGCCGAAGACCCGGATAACCTAACAATCCCCACGGCGGCCGGCCGACGACCCGATCCGATCGTCTCTGGTGAGAATTAGGGTTTTCGATGGTGGAGGAGGACAGGGTTGGGAGGCTAGGGTTCTCGATTTGGGGACTAGGGTTTTTCTGGGGTTTTGGAATTTTGGGCGAATGAAGGCGCTGGGGCGACAGAAGGGTAGATTTGGGAGGATGCGGAGGAGAGCGAGGGCCATTTGTTTCGGATTTTGAGGGAAACTGCTAACGGGTTGATTTTATAGGCCTGTTGGCACTTGCGGGTTCGGGTCGGTTTCATTCTAATGCATTTCGATGGATGATGAGGGGGGAAATTAAAGAAAAAGAAATAATATGAAGCATTAATAGCATACTACTGGGTTAAATAAAATGGGAAGCCTGGACAGCAGTAACAAGAGATTATATACGCCAAATACCAAGATTAAGTGTTTCAAAAATACAATCACTCCATCGTATGTTTAACTAGAAGTTTGTCTTAAGAACAAATCTAATACTATTATAAAAGTGGGTTGTCATGTTAAAATATTTCTTTCTGAAATGCCCTCTAATACATCCATTCATACATACATGAAGATATATATATGCTCAAGTTTTCATAATCTCCCCATTGCTTGCACATACATGCATACATGCATACAATTTTTCATATCCTTCCAATTGAGTACATGCTAAAGTTACATTTTATTTAACTAATTGAGTACTCCTTATGCCGTATTCTTATGTTTTGATGATGTTCTTAAATTTCAATCATATACAATTTTCTTACACTGACTTTATTTGATTTAGGTATTACATTGTCTCTTATTTTCCTCAGGTGGATGTCATACACCCCTTATATGATCGGTATTATATTTTCTTTGTTTTTTGACATTACACTTTTATTTTACCAATTTTTTTGGAAAGTTGTAACGGTTTAAATATTGATATGACTCGCACAAAATGTTCAAAAATTATTTTCCCATGTTTATATTTTTCCAAACCTTTCATTTTTTCATTTTTTTAAAGTTTACCCATTTTTGGTACTTTTTTGACATTTCACTTTAATTTTGAATTTTTTCTACCTTCTAAATAATAAAATAACTCCCGTCATATTTCTGAATACCGTTTTTACACAATTACATTTTTCAAACTATATATGATCTTAAACTGATTCAAATTTTCCAAACTTTCTAATTTTCCAAACTATATATGCAACTTAGGTTGTATCATTTCTGACTACTTATATATTATTACTATTTTACTTTGCATTCTTTTACTACATTAATTTTTGTATATTAAACAAATCCGTGCATCGCACAGGCCTAAAACTAGTTAATTTTTAATTAAACACTCACTCATAACGCTCATCCACTAAATCTTGGTATACTAAATATAAATTTATTTGCCCTGATGATAAAAAACATTACAACTATTCCTCTCCCGCCAAATCTCTATAAATAACAATAAAATTTTATCAAGAGAAAAAAACTAAATAACAAGGAGAAAAGACTCGTATGTTTGCTACGCTAATGATCCACATTTATCAAGAGAAATTTCAACCCAAGTGTCTGTGGAAATTACAACAAGATGCACAGTACTCCAATTAGCTCGAGCACTGCCCTTCAAGCATCCTCCTTAGACTTTGGAGTACAGGTCATAACAGCTTCTCCAACCGTTAGAAAAATCTTGTTGTTGCCAATCATCTCCGTGAACTTCGACGAGTAGAACTTATCCATGACTATAGTCCCAGGATTTGCAAGAGCAAGCTGTCAATATATGCAAAAAAGACTCGTAAATCAAACAATTCAGAAAGATGTGTTCCACATTCGAGCTATTTTGGACTATAATCAAACTCGATATATATATGACATGCAGATTCAGACCTAAGGATAGTCATACACAATGAAGGTTGCTGAATGCATAGGTTAAAAAAAGTAGGACAACTGGACAAGGTGGATTAGAGACAAAAGGTTTTGGTTGGAAGCAATTAAATTAGCCTCTCGCAAAAAATTGCGATAAAATTTTATTGTTGCTATTGCTGTACTCAGGTTCAAGAGATATACGACATATAGGCTTGGAACTAAGTATGTAAACGGCCACATATCGCCTCTTTTAGGTCCTCCACCTATAGTTCGGGAGTAGTCTGTATAGCGTGACTCACTTGCTTGTTGCCAATTCCACTATTTAGGCGTTCTTATTGCGAAAGATGGGGATCTTGACAATCAGAAGCAGAAGCTAAACTATGAAAAAAAATCATAACTCTGGTTATCAGAAAAGAAAGAAATCACAAGTAGGATATAGCAATACAAAGAGTTAGTTCAGGACTAGATGATGAAGCTAATATCTATGACAACACATGTATCATAAACTTAATGAACATATTGGCAAGGTAAAAAAACTCGATTTAAAAGATAATCCATATTCTATAACAGATAGCTAGAAAGTAAATAATTGGGTATATTGACATTAAGCCATTGTCTGCATTGGGTAGGCTAAATTATTGCTGTGGTTACTAAAATGCGCACATGTAAAATTTGATTAATGTTTTCACCTGAACATCTCTCTTCTGCAGGCCCTTGTATAAGTCTTGGAGGGCGTGTATTCCACTGGTGTCAATGTCTGTCACAGCTGCAAAAGAGCATTTTTAATGAGAAATGCTGGGTATATGTGATGAGTAGTATTGAAATGATAACAAAGAACAAAAATATGAAGTTATTGTGTATAATTACGCGACATCTCAACAATGAGGAACTCGATTTTTGGGAGGTCCTTTGCTTGTAATCTCTCTTCTTCATCTGTTAACAATCTGAGAATTCTGAAAATGAAATGTATGTGTTGGATGTAATTCTAAATTTCCAATAAATAATTTCCCTAAAAAAATTCGATAAATAATCATATGCATGTTTACATGTGAGTACACATAACTTTCATGTCAAATGATCATAGATTTTACACTCAATTTAATTTCATAAAAATTAAAACGCAAGTGACAAACCGTCACGTTCGAAAACTTAGGGGGTTTCTGTGAAGTCCTGCAAAATGTGGAATTTCTGTAATGTAGCTTTTTTTCTTCTACCAATAAACTTTATTATAGGTATCCAGTCATACAAAGAGTCAAATTGGTTGGAGGGTCAAGAAATGTTACATACCTCTCTCTAACGTAATTGGAGTTGGAAAAATATATAGCAGAATCAACTCGCACTATAAGGGCTCCTGGAACTCTAGTTGCCTCTGGGTATTGTTCTATATTCCTATAAACCGTAGTCCCCGGAATATTTCCAAGAATAGCTGTTCTTGGTCTAGTTACTTGGAGAAGAATTTTTGCAAATGACAATGAAACCTGTTATTGTAAATCATTACAGCATACTCAAGTAATAACCTTTTATTGCAAATAATGAAATAACACTTACTGCGATTAGGAGACCGATCTCAACTGATACAAAAACCACACCAAAAAATGCTCCCATACAAGCAATGAAGTCCAATTTGTCAACTTTCCATATAAGATAAGCTGCTTTATAATCAATGAGTCCAACCACAGCGGAGATAATAATAGATGAAAGGATGGCGTTTGGAGTGTATTTAAACAGCGGCGTGATCAGAAGCAAAGTGAGAAATACGACTGCTGACATGACCAAGTTAGAGACTGGTGTGTGGCAACCGGACATGTAATTCACTGCTGATCGAGAAAAAGAACCTAAAAATAGAGGACACCCTCAAAATATTCAGAAATTAATATTTCTCAGACCGAAAATACATAACAATTGTACATTTTTCAAGTATATCAGTATTTTTCTTTAGCATACGCCAAAACACCATGAACTTTGAAGGGATTCACGCAAAACCCTACTAAACTTTCAAATTGAGGTAAAGATACCATGAACCTTTTTGCTAAAATACCATGACATATTTTGGACAATATTACCCTTATGTACTTTTAGTTTTAGTAACAGAATTTTTCAAGTTAGGGTGTAGTAAGAAAGGTACTTTAGACCTTTCAATTAATACTGTCACTGACAAATTCAAATGGATCATAGTAGCTTTTGCTTGTTTAGAAAGTTTAGAAGGGTTTTATGCTACACCCCAAAGTTTTGAGAAATTTACTCTTTTCTTTACTTACCTGTGGCTATGTAACAAGAACTCATTGACCCAATAACATTCATTGTCCCAAGTGCGACCATCTCTCTATTCCCATCCAATTGATAGTCTTTCATGGCAGCAAATGTTCTGCCAATCGCTGCAGCTTCCTAATAAGAATACAAGCACTTAGTTTTATATACAAACACAACTTTTTCAATAGGAAAAGCTAGGAGTAATATTAGTACCACTAAGGCTATAACACCAGCTACTGCTCCAATCTTGAACCCTGTCGCAGAATTCGCACCGGTGAAGTAAATTTTACCGAAAGAAATTGGGTTGAGTCCCTTTTTTAGATTTTTAACCTTTCCAAAAACAGAATTACTATCAGTAAACATATGGGTAGTTGAAGGAAACAAACTAAACTTGTTGATAGATCACCACTTACAATCTTAACACCATGCTTATCAGCATGAGTAACATAAACTAGAAGAGTGGAGAGAACGACAGAGATCAATGGAGCGATTGCAGGCACCCAGAAGAGGCTCTTCTTCTTATTTCCCTGATTAAACCAGTGTATTTGAATATGAATGTATTATCATTGAGTTAGAACTATGAGCTTAGGAAGTGAAGTTCTTACAATGTGCTTAGCAAGCAAAAGAAACGCCAAAAAGAATGATCCGATGAGTGTAGTTTGCCAATTCCACTGAAAGCACCAATATATATGATAATGTATGAGATTATGTTAGCAGTAAAATATTATGTTAAGTGATTTAAATACTTCATACCCCATGAAAAGCTGAATCAAACACTGATTTCATAACTGAAACAAGATCGGATTTCTTTGTGAATTTCTCGATGCCAAAGAAACCCTTGAGCTGCTGAAGGGCAATAGTGATGGCTGTACCACCCATAAATCCAACAATCGAGGCATGTGATAGGAAGTCAACCAGAAAACCTAATCTGAAGTGGAAAATGAGATGATATAAATTACTATGAGATCCGAAATATATAACAAAGTAGGCCTTAGGTATCGCTTTTTTATAACATTGCTAAAATTAAGTAAACAGTGCTAAAAAGAAAGTTTAGACATACAACAGTCTTGTTGCAGTGGTAGGGACTATGAAAACTGATTTGTCTATATGTTTAGTTTTCTTCTAGTATAATTAAACAGAGAATAAAAATTTTGGAAAATAAAACTTAAAAAAAATTAAGTCAACAAAATGAAGGAGCATCCAATTTCTATAATATCACCCTACTGATCTTAGAGTATACATATATGCTTATATATTTGTTTTTTCTTTATCCATCAATCAATATACTAGTATCCATTTTATCCCATTCTTTTGATGTTATACCGATGTTTTAAAACTCACACCTGTACGTTGTATGGTTATATTTACCTAAAAAACCCGAGTGCTGCTTGAGTTATTCCAGCAAAAAAAGTAGCTGTAAAAGCAAGACGAAGATATTCCTCCTTTTTACTAGGATCAACTTCATCTTGGAGAAGAGACCCCAACAACAGCGAAACAACTGCAACCGGTCCAATGGCAATGTCTCTAGAGCTCCCCATAAATGCATAAATAAGGGGAGGCACAAAACTGGAGTCTACAGTCAAAAGAAGAATTACGAGGGAAAACATAGACAAAATCGTTTAAACTGAAAACAAGCAAAAGTAGGTAAATCAAATAATCATTTTGATACTTACATAGCCCATATTGTGGATCAAGGTTTGCAAGCTTCGAATACCCAATATCCTATCATACTGACCAAAATCAGCATCATAAAAGATTATGCTAAAGCAAGTAGACTTCTGAAAGGAAAAGTATATACCTGAGGAATACAGAGGCTTGCAATAGTTATTCCAGCAATTAGGTCACCCTTAAACTTAGTTAAATTATAGCTCCTTCCCCATTTAAAGATTGGGAAAACAGATTGAAGACCTAGCAGGAGCCTTCTTGAACTTGATTGGTCTTTGTAATGGCGGAGTGGATCATCGGAAAAGAAAGTTTCCCTTAATGTGTCTACAAACTCTCTTCCAAGGTTTTTTCTTGGAGGAAATCCCACTTTATAAACTGATGGAAGTTTCTCTAGTTGAGGATTTGAGGAAGAAAACCCGGTGGCGTCCAAGTCTTTATTTTCGATTTCACCGATAATAGGACCCATTTGGGATTTCTCTATCAAGAACAGACTGTAAAGCAAAAAAGAAAAATAATAATTAAAAATAAAAAACTAGAGAATAAATGATTGTCCGTTCGACTAAAACTATGTAATTCTGTGAAGTGCTAATTGAACCTTATAAATCCTGAGTGATCCTCGAAACAAAATGTAAAGATCAATATAAGTGGTAATGGGATGATTTGACAAGTTCAGTTGCAATTAATTAAACTTTATCACACTCTTTACTTTGATCACTGTATTTGTTTAGGTTAAAAATCTGCCATGCAATTCACATGATTTCAAACAATTTTCCCTGTTGCAACACAAAGTAGCAGGGGTCATTGTTCTCCAAGATGAACATGAAAGATATTCTCCCTCATTTGCCTATAGCTCCCCCCCCCCCCAACCATTTAATAACATTAACATAAACAAACCACATTACCCTAGACTGTTGTAGAGAATCAGATATAAAAGAGGTTAGTAAAATTCTAGTTTTGCCTTACAAATTTAGGGTCACCAAAGAAATGGGAGAAAAAAGGGCCATAAATTGAGATTATTCTATTAAAAATCCCAAAAACTTAACCAGAGAATGTGCATTTTGAATACTCCTAAAAACTCAAATCCATAAACAACATGCAAACACGTAGTAATCTATAAGTTCCATGATTAACCCATGAATCAGAATGAGAAAAGAGAGAATTTTGGAAGAAAGATCTTACCTTTAGGCCAAAAAGAAGCCGAACATTGCCAGATAATAACAAAATTATTAAAGAAGGCAGGGGGAATTTCCAAAATGCGTGAAGAGAACAATGAGAGGGAGAAAGGGAGAGAGGATCTCTTATATAGATTCTGGTTGGGGCCCATCAGTGCCCAATGGAAATTATCAAATAAAAATATTTTGCATGATGATGTGGAAACTAATTAAATTATGCAAAGGATATGAGAAAAAATTGTCCACATTCGATGAACCATTTTCTGTTATGATTTGCTATTCATAGAGATTGTTTTTTTTGTTTGGTTAGAATTGGACCTAACTCCAAACTTGATTTTCTTAGGGGGGTGTTAGTTAATTGGGACATTTTCATGCAAAATGGGATAATTGTTAAAGTGGAATAATTTTTCGTTAGTGGGATATTTTAGTGGGGACATTTTCATGCAAAATGGGATAATTGTTAAAGTGGAATAATTTTTCGTTAGTGGGATATTTTAGTGGGATAAATAGGAACAATTTTGTGAAGCGGATTAAAGTGGAATAATTTTTCGTTAGTGGGATATTTTAGTGGGATAAATAGGAACAATTTTGTGAAGCGGAATATTTTGATAAAATAACGTGAGATAAATTTTTATAATCATGAAATATATATTTATGCATTTTGAAAATATAATACTATTTATGCATTTTAAACTTACTATTATTAATTGATAATTGCTTACAAGAATGTTATTACTATTAAATAACTTTTGATTAGACTATAAGATATTGACAATTATTATAATGATGGTCTAATGATGGTGATAATCATAATAGGAAAGAAGTAAAGAAAAAAGGAAATATAAGAAATAAAAAAAATAAATATAAGTTCTAGTTTTTACCACCTAATTCCAAGCTAAAACTTGGAATAATTTGAGAGATTAGAACTCTCATTTTTGTATAGAAAAATAAAATAAAGTGGGATAATTGCGTACCATTATCCCAATTCTAGTTTTGTTAGAGCTCTACTTGACTAACACTGTAAAATTTTGTTAAAGTTTTAGTTCTATGTGACTAACACTTTAAGAATTTATCCCACATATTATCTCAGTTCCAATTTTAAGTTCTAGGTGACTAACCCCCCTTAGTTCAAATTTAAACCGTTAAAAGCAGTTAACTGGGTTATGATTGTGTTGATGTCCATGAACACACAGTCAATGAGAGCTATCCGTTGCTGACGAAGACTAGGAGGATGAGAGATGGGACCGACTCCTCCTCCGACTCTATGCCCGGTTCTGAGCGCTCGGGGTGGACTGATAACCTGCACATGCAAGAATCGCGAGAGTACGGGGCTAGTTCCCTCTGTGGTACCTCCGACGGTCAAGTCAGCTGGTGAGCTTGAGGGAGGTTTTTCGAGAGGTCCCTGGGCCATTGAGGTCCTTGCAGGGGGTCCCTCCTTTAAGTATTGTTAGGTTTTTCTTATGTAAAGAAAAAAGATCAAGAGGGAGAAAAATTCAGGCGTAAGAGGAAACCACCTTTTGTTCTTACCCCCTTTACCTCCTTTTATAGTCCCCAGCCTCCAAGATTCTGACCTCTAGCTTTGGCTACATACAGTGGCGTGGTTGGGGGTCGAACGAACAGACCGTTGAGTTTATTCTTCACTTTACAGATGTAGGCTGGTATTGGAAGGGCAGTCATTCGAGCACAGGAGATGATGTCTCGAAGATATCTCGAAAGTGACATATGAGGACTGGTGGGCGATAGGCTGGCTGTCTAGCCACTTATTGCGTTACAGATGGCGGCTGGCGATTGGAAGGGAATTCATTCGAGCACAGGAGAGGATGTCTCGAAGATATCTCGGAAGTGACAGATGAGGACTGATGGGCGATAGGCTGGTTGTCTAGCCACTTATTGCGTTACAGATGGCGGCTGGCGATTGAAAGGGAAGTCATTCGAGCATAGGAGAGGATGTCTCGAATATATCTCGGAAGTGACAGATGAGGACTGATGGGCGATAGGCTGGCTGTCTAGCCACTTATTGCGTTACAGATGGCGACTGGCGATTGGAAGGGAAGTCATTCGAGCACAAGAGAGGATGTCTCGAAGATATCTCTGAAGTGACTTGCGAGCAGAGTGAGTTGTCTGATGCACGAGATCTATCAGAGTTAAGATCTTGATAGGACCGATCAATATTGTAATGTTGATCGATACATATCCGAAAGGAGCTTAGTTGAATCTTATCCTCTTGGTAGGGTCGGGTCTGCTTGCGAGTCGACTCTATGATTTTCCGACCGAACAGTCAAGCGAGCTCCTGGCCGAGTAGATAGGCGAGTAGATGGTCGAACCGACTAGCTGAGGAGTTGTTTTGATTATGAGGCAGGTGGACTCTTGAGGGAGTCGTCTTGATTTGTAAGGGGTCGACTACTCCCGCATTTCGTGTTGGCAAAGATGTCTGGCTTGCTCCAGCGGGTTAATAGATCGGCTCTTGGATGGGCTTTTGGGCCGCTATGTTGGTCTGAACCATAATTTTTTTTGGGCCTATGAAGACGATCTTTTGATGTCTTTATCTTTAAATGGTGAATTGCCATAACAGATTGGACTGTCTCTTACCTAGATCATAACAAATCTGATTAAGGTAGTGTTATATATATACCCTTTAACTTTCTATATAATTTTCTATAGAGTGTCGTTAATAGAAATATTTTTCTGAAGTACCTTGTGACATGCGTTTTGTGATGTTAAACGCAACAATTTCATGTTTTAGAAAAATATAATATTCAGTTATAGATTTCTAAAAATATTATATGATAGTATAATTGGCTGTCCATCCGGTCAACTTTTTAAATGGAAGATGAAAAGGGTAAAAAAATTTCTCATATTATTAACCCATTAAAAGTGAAAGATGAAAAGGGTAAAAAACAGAGCTGCTTTTTGGCTCGCGGCCGCCCAACTCGTGGGCAGCTCGCAAGAGCCAAAACAGGGGGGTGGGGCCCCCCTTGGGA